CCAAAAGACATCTTCTCCATACAACCGCAAAAACTATGACCCCATGCTATCATAGCCAAACTGGTGAAGGAGACGATTAGGCTGATACACCTGATAATAGGTGTCCGAAGCACATTGGCCAAGACAACAACAAACACTCCCTACAACAACAAATAAAAGTATCACAAACACAGAAAAAGCAATAGCATAAGAAAATAAAACCCACTCAATGGAAGTATACACATCTCCTCATTCATAGAACCCTCACTTGGTGCTCACACAACATCAGGCTCAAGATGACTTCCTCTTACCCTTACCTATTTCAAAACAAACGACTGCGAATGCACGTTTAGACCAAGACGAAAACAAAAGAAGAAGAAGAAGAAGAAGAAGAAGAAATCAAAGTTAAAATAACAAAACCAAGTCAATTATTAGTACGCTTACCAATGAAGATGACTTGGTCCCCTTCCCATGGACACAAGGGGCTATTTTCTTGATACGGCCACCAGTGAACGGAACAGCTACACTAGAAATAGGGGTAGAGAATCCCCTGTTGATTGCCCAAATACAACTTCAGCTTTGGGTGGAACGTCACCCCTGCGAGGCGCATCGATTGGAACTTAGTCTGGAACACACTCAGTGTTGGCCTTACACCCCAAGACGAGAGCCCGCCACTGGAACACCCGTATCCGATGCCTCTAACGGAAAAGCAGGATGGCTATGCCTAACTGAATGTGGCTTCTTGACAACGGGAGGTTGGTTACTCTACCTTTCATCTAGCATTGGTCACTTACCCTTAGAATCTGGGCCAGGGTGACACCACCCTTCCACAATAGTCTAGGCTATCGATACACCCTTAGAAGGAACTTCTCCACCCTACCCAGCTACATGAACTGGCAGAGGGGCCATCACGTGTCACGAGTGGGGCTTAGTCACCATAAACATTTGCAACCCACCAAAAAGCATGCACAAGTAGCCTAGGTGAACAGAACTACACACATCCACACGTCTGAAGCCAGCCAAAGGAAAGCAAGTAACACCGAGAAACGCTAGCCCATGGTGGTTCTGCCAAAAGACATCTTCTCCATATGACCGCAAAAACTATGAGCCCATGCTATCGTAGCCAAACTGGTGAAGGAGACGATTAGGCTGATACGCTGTCACTTGTGCCTCCCCGGCACGATCCAGATAAGTAACCACACCATGCCACGAAATTAAACGAGCAACCCAAATGACAAGGTTATTAGCATCCACTGCACACTACTGATCGCCACCCTTAAAAACACCAACTCCGATGTAGAAAGGCATGGCATGGCGGACAAGATGAGTACGTACCAGAAACAAAATTCTCCAGAGAAGCAAACTTCAGCTCTATCTCACCAACGCCAAACTGCTTCTCTCTGTTTGCATTGAGCCACCACTTCCCTTGACAAATATCTAGTGACACATCCTCATAACCATCACCTTCCAATGTAGCTATATAGTTGTGATAGTCACCATGGAGTGATGCTTAACTAGAAGCGCTCACAAATGAACATCAACAAAAAAGGGGAAAACACATACAATGAGCGACGCTTGCAACTAGGGTCCATGATTTGATGAATAATATCATCCATCTGGTCGTATAAAATATCCAAGAAACATAGAATTCAATGGAAGCTAATGACCACCAGTTGTATGAACCGCAAGAGGAACCAGGATAGTACAAAGGCCATTGTCATGGTTCCCAAGAAACAAAAATCATGGCGCGACATAGAGAATAAATACCATGATGTGACACTGGATATCCGCTTTTCTGACCATGACATCTGTTGATTCCTTTCTCTCGAACCAGAAACCAATCCAGGCTTCGAGGGGCCACTTCACTCGAGAAGTCGTCTCATCTACCTGTGCCTTGAAAATGTCGAACTCTTCTCCCAACTCTACATGTAGATCCAACAACATGTTGGGAATAGACTCAACGTATTGAAGATGGTGGGCTGAAATGGCACCGCCCAACTGTAATGCAAGCAGAGCAGCCACATCCTCAACGGTGACACTGAACTCACCAAACACACCCACAAGCGTATGTGTCCAACAACATCAATGAGACAGGAGTAGCCACATATAATCCATCCTTTCCTTACCTGGAAGGTCCAGGAAATAGTCAACAAATCTCAATAGCCCAACGTTGTGGATCAACCAACAGTACATAGGGTTTTCTAGGATGAGAAGAGCCCATGCTATGAAACTTACAAAGGACTTAGAACCACCAGTCCTCAATTTAGAACACTTGAAGGAAATGGTGTGCTTCAAATGACCATACAAACATGTAATCTCATTTCCTTCCACCACGTTGAACTCGCCATCCTTCCCCCTGGACACTGGCATGGAAGGTTAGAAACCCTTCCCACGATCAACAATCTTTGTGGACTTGTATTCAGAGAGTAGTTCCACATGCAATGTCCACATCCCTTACAAAATCAACGAAGGGGCAGTCAGATTACACAACATTCTTTTGCTTGTAGGGAGCCATTAACATCAAACACAGGCAAACCACGAAAGAAAGAAAATAAACAAGAAGATCAAAACTAAGCAGAACCACTTCAGTAGAAAAGCAAATGCAAAGACGAAGGTTGAAGAGAATGGTACCCATTATAGCAGTCCCATTTACCGACCGTTACATATTTACATTACTGTCCTTGAAAAAGGCAGGACACCCAGACATCAAATTTAAAACTACTGCCACAATACATAACAACCAATCTGAACGAAGAGCACGAAGCCCAACACACCCATTGAAACACGCGACCCACTAGCAATGAATACGAGTTGACGGTTATACATCCAACAGAACCGAAGAGGACAACGTTATCACCCACTACACACATAACCATGATAGGACAGTATCACCCACACGAATGACAAAAGAGCTCTTCGTAAAAAATATTGCACAGTGAGAACAAGGGAAGAGAAGGCATCCTTCAAACAGACCTATCCAAAAACAAAAGTATATGCACAAGTACGCCACCATGCATATATATGCACAAGTACGCCACAAGGGAAGAGAAGCCATCCTTTAAAACTTTTGAGGAATCATCAAGCATGGAAAATTCTTCATTTATTGAAATGGCCGGGGTGGTAGGCCCAAATACGCCACCAAGTCAGCGATGATCATCCTATCTGGAATTGCCGGGGGGAGAGTCACTTGATAGTTCGAAACCTAAATCATCTCCTCTGTCGGGTTAAATCTGACATTTTCTTCCTATGTACTTAAATCAAAGCAAATAAAATTCTTCATAGATTGATTGATTTTAATTATTTCATTGTACTTGATGAATGGCAATATGGAGGACTTTGGTTAGTGTGGAATTCATGATTATACACTCCCTTCAAACGCCAACGAAATCGAACAAATGTAAATATTTACATCGTTCTTGATTTACACCAATTCCAAATGTAGCTTAAGGGACTCAGAGACTCGATTGGAAGTATATTGAAAACAAAACATGCCATGAAGGATGAGGACATTTTGAAAAATTGCAAGAAGATCAACAAATATCTAAGGTGCAGATTGAATTACCATCACGTTTTCAAGGATGCCAATCAAGCAGCAGACCATACGATCAAGGAAGCTCTTTCTAATCCTAATGAAATTATCTCTCTTTGTAATGCTAATATTCCTAGGTGTTTAAATTGATTTGAGGGGTCGGGTTACCCCGTTGTGTAGCTCCTCCTATTTTTACCAAAAAATAAAAAAGTAAAAGAAGTAGATTCCGATCTCAAATATTAGGGTCCGTTTGGTTCATCAGAATTAAAATCCCTTGGAATTTGAATTTGAATGGTTTATCCCCATAGTTTGTTTGATTCATACATGAATGGGAATAGGAATTTGAATCGACAAGAATGAGATTTCATTCCCAAGGGAGGGGCAGGGAATGACCATTCCCTCGAATGAGGAATGCCATTCCAGTAGGAATGAGAATGGGATTCCGATTCTGTTCAACCAAACAGTTGGAATCAATGTTTTTGAACTGTCCTTGACCCGGATGATCGGACCGCGGCTCAGAAATCGTTCAAGTAACTAGTTCCGTTTCACCCCTGACCCGTTCTTGGGTAAAAAACTGTTGATTTTGTCAGAAAATTGCTGGTCGAACCGTCAATTCCTTTGACCCGAACAACGGTTCGTGGTTTAAGAAATTGTAGAGAGGGGAGAAACTTTGAGTCAGAGACACGAACTCAGATATGATATCTAGAGAGAGAAGAAGAAGAAGAAGAAGAAGCAGAGATCTGAGATATGAGAAAAAATGAAAAATTAATCTCATATATGAGATCCGAGAACTCGTATCTCAGATCTCAAATCTATCATTTGTGCTGTTACCGCCATTGCCATCTCGCCGTTGCCGTTGCCATCTTGTCTTTACCGTTGCCATCGTTGTCACGGGTGAGTGATGAATCATTCTCCTCTTCCTTATTCTTCCATCCTTCCCTCTTTCTTTCCTCCATTTTCTTTCTCTCCTTTTCCTTTTTTTTTTCTTTTCTTCTTCCTTTCCTTCTTCTCTTCTTTCTCAACCAACAAAAGACTCTCTTCTCCACTTCTCCTTTCTCATATACTATTTGCTATCTTGTCCTAATGCAAACCGTCCGAACCGTTCGACCCGGATGGTTGAACCACTGACTCAGAAACCAGTAGATAGAATAGTTCCGTTTCCGGGTCAGTTTTTAAAACCTTGATTAGAATAGCCCATTCTGATTGCGATTCCGGACCCCTATTTCCGTGAACCAAACGGGGCCTTAGTTTTTTAATCCCAATTCCATGATTCGTTTTTAGCATTTCTCAGGGCGCGCTTTCCGAAGCCTATCAGGCATGGTGGACCATGCAGTGAACGCTTCAGATCTGCCGGATCATCTCTTACCATTGGAGAAATAGGGTGGGTTATGTAGGGAATCCCCTACTTGACCCGAGTAATTAGTCACCGTGTGGGTCGATAGGAGGGTATACCAGTCTTTCCAGAAATAAAAGTTAACTACTGAGATCTGCAGATGCGAATGGTGAGACCTGAGAACGTGATACGTACAAGTACAAAAGAGAAATACTTCGTTAAACTGAAAATGCCAAAGCCAAACCGGGGGTTTAACAATCATTTCTTGATTATTTTCTGATTCACGCAATAAGGAGAGAGCAGGTGGGGGAAGGTTCTATCCCTCCTTGAAATGTAATGTATTCTTTGTGCTGCTGGATTCTCATTTGGATCGGATCCCTCTGACTTCTCGTCTTCATCCTTCTCCCGACCCTGTTCGCTGACAAATTACAGTGATCCAGTATGTATATGGCATACGGGTGGCCTCAGGTCATCCCTCTTCAACCAGGGGCCTGCCCGGTTTCCGAGCAGATCGTCTATCTCAAAGTCATCAATCGCTTGTTGCTCGTTGTTGCTCCCTCCCACATAGAACTCTGGAGCTCTTCCCAGGTTTGATTTCTTTTGGTTCTTATTTAAGATTTCAAATTCTGTTGTTCTTCGATCTCTCTTGGTATTGTTGCAGTTTTTCCTTTCGTATTGTATTTTCTAACATTGCCCTAGTTCCGGATCAGAATAAGGTGAGGTTAGGGAAGTACACGAGAGATTCGAATTCACTGCTAAGAGAGGGGGAGAATTCGCAGGCTGTCTGGAGTCCGGACGCCAAAATGGTTGCCGTTCTTGTAAGTTTTTTATGGGTTCATCGTGAATTTTAGTTCCCCCCCCCCCCTTCTGAGGAGTGGATTATTCAATTAATTGAATGGCGTTTGTTTCTTATTAATTATACTTTTACCTTAGCAATTGTTTTGGAAAATGCCTGATTTATGTTAATTGTACTACGTTATACTCCTTTTATCAGTGGAAGTTTTATGCATTTGTGAATGTCAAAGACCATACTTTAGGGTTTAATTGCGAAGCGTATTTGGTGATGATCTTACATGGTACAGAAAAGAAGATAATTTGCAGACTTACACGGAGGATAATTGGTCCTCCTGCACCTGGTTTAGTAATATGTTTAAAAACTGATTGTTGTTCTACTTGTATTTTTGGCTTCTATGTGCTTGTATTTCCTTATTATAAGTTCATTGTGACTGGGCAAAATAATCAAACGTATGTGACGAAAATACTTATGTGTGTCAGTACCCACTGCTGATTTGAGAGGTAACCACATGGAAACTTGCAAAATTCTGGAAGGAGTTTTGCATTATAGACGTGGCGTAGTTTTTGAATCAGGAAAATGAAATTGTCTGACACAACAGATTTTCATAAAATGGACTTTCTTGTTAAGTAGATATTAACCAAGATAGTAATTATATTGTTGAAGAACATGAAAAGATTCAAGTAAGGTGTGCAAGAATTGCAAGTGTTTGTTTCCTTTTCCTACTCCATCTTTTAGCTCTAGTATACAATTTATGCGCTTCTTCTTGGATAACTCTATATTATTCTTAAGATTGTAACTTTTATTTATTTATTTTTTTGATCCTCTTCATTTCCTGCAGACATCTTCATTCTTTCTTCACATTTTTAAGATCCAGATTACAGAGAAGAGATTACAAATTGGAGGGAAGCATTCATCTGCACTATTTCTTGCAACTATTTCTTTACTTCTCAGTGAGCAGGTGCCTTTTTCAGATATGAACTTGACAATGTAAGTGCTGCTTCCAAACCATTTGAGGTGTGCTTTTATAGTTGTATGTTTTAATAGTGATCTTAATAGTTATCTTGATCACTTTTTTAGGAGCAATATTGTATGTGACAACAAGCATCTACTTGTTGGACTCTCAAATGGATCTTTACATCTTATATCCTGGAAGGGGGAGGTATGCATAATGTGACTGAGAATGGAATACTTCAAACCATGATGCATATACTCAATAGAGAACCACATCTTTGTATTGTATTTTTATCATGCAACTCTTTTTAGTACAAGTGAGGCTATTGAGTGATGTTATTAATATTTTTGTTTTGATTTATGCAATTAGTTTTCTACTTTAATTACTTTTTGTCATACAGTTCTGTGAGGCACTTGAACTACGCTCACATCCACATGGCAGCAATGAAGTCACTGTAGCACAGCATTCCTTGGACAATGGGTCTTCTTCAGAAGCTTTGAGAGTTGTGACGCCCAATGATAATTCTTTCCACAGTTATTCTGTTATCCATCTGGAGCTCTCGTTACCCTTGCTGGTTGTGTTATATTCTGATGGAAAACTTGCACTGTGCTCTATAAGCAAGAAAGGTTTAAAGCATACTGAGTTTATCAAGGCTGAAAGATGGCTGGATTGTAGTGATGCTGTTTGTGCTTCTGTAGCTTCAGACCAACAAATCATTGCAATTGGTACCACTAGAGGTGTTGTTCAGTTATATGATCTGGCTGAATCTGTATCACTTCTTCGCACTGTATCTTTGTATGATTGGGGGTAAGCCTTACACGTCATTATTAAGCCAGTAAGATTCAGTATTTTGTGAAGATTCTCTTTTGCTATTTTTGTGGCAATCTATGTTCAGCTGTTATTAACTTTCCTTTTGTCTTTGAGCCACATACTCATAACCCCCCCAAACTTGGTGAAGGCGGGATTTGATCCTAAGTTTTTGCTACAACCAGCCAAAGACCTTACCAATTGAGCCAGTTGGCACCTTCAAGTATTGTATTATATTGATCTGAACAAAACAGGTACATAAGACCCTTTGCACACTAGGCTGCATTTAGTAAGAGTGCAAATGCTGAACCAAAGCAAATTTGCCCTCTGCTTTAGTTTCACAGGCATTTGGTATGGATATGTTTTGTTATTAGCAATGTTATTAGGACTGTTTCTGGGCTGTTAGTGGGCCTGTTTTATATGTTTTCTCTGTTAAGTTGTAATCAGGGTTATTCTTGTAATATCCCCTTTTATTTGAATACCCTAATATGTAAGTCAAGTGAGTCCCGCCCCCAACACTTTTTTGGCAATCCTTTCTCTCTTTTCTTCTCTCTTTTTTTAGATCAATAACACAGTTCATTAATTATCACAATGGGAATTACAAAGAGGAAGACAAACTTTCTTATCTTCCACCTTCAGCTTGAGCCCCAAGAAATGAAAAAGAGAGAAAGAGAAAAAGAAAAGGGAAAAAGGAAAAAGGAAAGAAGAGATTTAAATTATAGCTGTGCTGATAACATTGACTCCCTGTCCACCCCTTGCTAACCCATCAGCAAAAGAATTAGCTGATGTTTTTACCCAACTGATTTTAACTTCCATTTCTCGAGTCAGCCATCTGAATTTCCTCCTCATATTGTTCTATCTCCATAAGCCACTATCGTCTTTATTCAGCCACCCTACCACCACCTCCGAGTCCCCTTCAATTATGAGTTTTCTGAGATTCATCTCCCTAGCTTTCTGGACTCCTTCCATAACTGCATGGATCTCAACTCTGAGAGAGTCACCCACTCCAATTGGGCCTGAGAACATGGCAGAAACAACCCCATTCTCATCCCCGAAAACACCCCCAATCCCTGATTGTCCAGGGTTCCCTTTGCTACTTCCATCAAAGTTTAGTTTTATGAAGCCCGCAGGTGGGGGAGTCCAAGACACACTCATTACTGCTTTAGTTTGGGTACAACTAGCAATCTCACCCCACTTCCTCAGCATGTCATCCACTGTCTTTTCTGCTCTCTTCTTCTCCTTTCTTTCTTCTTTTTCTTTCCAGATGGTATCAGAGCAGGTCTGATTGCAAGAGGAGCTCGAGTGTATCTTATTTTCTCTCCTTTCTCTTTCTCGGGTTTCTCTGGAAAGACTGTGACTACTCAACTATGAGAAGGACCTGATTGGGTAAGGGTTTTTGTGTTTTTTCCCTTTTTTGGTCATGGGACCAATAAGGTAATTGTTTGGGCGTTTTACTCGTATCCTGTGATTGATTGCTGAGTGTTTAGAGAGGTGTCTCTCAGTGTTTTGTATGGTTGTGCTCTGAGATCCAACCAGCTGTGGTGTAAGCCTTGTTTTTAAATCTCTAGTGACTAGACCTGTTGTTGTTTATTGTACTGGTTTGTTTGTGGTGGAAGTGCCTTCCTTTTCTTGCAAGGTTCAAGATTGTTAGTCTGTTTTTTCTGTGAAGTTTGGCTGTAAGGTTCTTCTTCAATGTTTGTTTTTTTTTTGACTTGGTAGTGTTGGGAGGGGTCCTACACTCTATTCATTTCTTGTGAAGGTGCTCAGTGTAGAGTGTTTGATTTCTTGAAGAGGACTGTTAATCTCTAAAAAGAAAAAAGAAAAAAAAACAGACCTGGTCATTCTCTTGTTGGCACTGTTAGTTGTTTGTTTGGTTGAAAGTATTTTGGGATTGTTGCTTGCTGCACTTGAACAATGTTGTCTGATGATTCATCCATGCTTGAAGTTTTTGGAGGTCAGAATATGGTTAGCCCAAGGGCTGAAAACTGGGGCTTCCTTATTTCCATTACAGTCCTTGATGGACTGAACTATTTGGAGTGGTCCAAAAGTGTGAAGCTGTATGTTGGGTCTAGAGGAAAGCTTGAATATTTGTCTGGTGATATTCCTCAACCCAAAGAGGCTGGTGCAGCCCATGATAAGTGGGTTCAAGATAATTATCTAATCATGTTTTGGCTTGTTGCATCTATTCATCCAAGTCTGAGAAATAACTTTATGTGGGCTGAAACCGTGAAGGAGATTTGGGACCAGGCTAAGGCAACTTTCTTTGAGCAGAGGCACTATGCTCGTATTTATCAACTACAGGTTGAGTCCTCCAATTGTAAATAGTGGGAGAAAAGTCTGTCGGGTTACTACTCAGCTCTAACCTCCATGTAGAGGGAACTTGATCATTATCAATGTATTGATTGGAAGAATGAATCAGATGCAAAAGAGTACAAAAGAATAATATTCAAAATTTCTCTCTGGCATCTGGTTTGCTGCTGTCGCTTCCCACCAATCGCACTCTTAACCACTACACCAGTATTCATTTTATGATAATAAATGGAATGCATTAAATTTTACTCACTTTAACGTTCACAATTAATTCAAATAAATAATATATATTATATTCAACAACTCCAACTACAAATTAAAAAGAATAATATTCAAAATTAGTATTTTATAAACTAATAGAACAAATAATTGATACACCCACTATAGTTTATGTGTCCAACAGAGGATCAAGATTGCTCTATGGTTTAGTCATTAGCCCACAGGTATGATAACTGCACATTGCACTACCATTTCCTTTAAAATCAAATATTTGAGATCATAACTTTTCTGACTTGATTGATGGTACTAACCAGAGTTGAAAACTTTTATTCTGCCTGTGCCAAATGTCCAGACATTCTGCATGTGCTTGTGCTCATGAACATCTGACTCAACATTCAGTTCTAGGTTCCCCTCTCCTAAATTTAACTAGCAAATCTAGAATCAATTTTCCATGTGAAGAATGATTTCTATTTAGTGAGCTCTAATCCATCCGTGTGATAGATGTGATGGTAATCCAAACCATCATCAGATCTACAACAATTTTCTAGATGGTGGGCCGACAAGTTAAAAATCTGATCAACCATGGCTTTTTTTGGTAATCATCTAAAGAATTTTGGCTCATCTCTAGTGGAAGATATTGGTCACCTCTTAACAGGTTGGGCAGGTTGGTTTGGGTTTTACCCATTTAGTATCTAATTGAATAGGTCAATAATGGGTTGGTGGGTTAGATGGATGGATTGAATCTCAGATAAAACCTACCCAAATCTGCCTAAACACCATTACTGGTGATAGAATGCTAAATGTGTTTACTTAGATAAAGGGGAGTCTTAATTAACTCAACCAAAATGTTGACCATCCTCAAGATGATGCTTCTATAGAACGTTTGTGGGTTGAAAAGCATATAGGGGAGACTTGCATATGTCTGAAGATTTATATCCAACCCTGCAGGGCTGCTATTCATTCTCTAGTAGTACCAAATTGGTAGTACCAGTTTTTAGAAAACCGGTAACTGAAGCTGGTCAGTTAACCAGTTGATCGGTTTGGTTAACCACCGGTTCAGTTCGTCGGTTTTTGGGTTTTTTTATTTGTACTATGTATTATAAATAAATGTATAAATATATAATAAAAACTAGAAAAAAATATAATATAATATTATAAATAATAAATAATAAATTATATATTATAAATATATTTATATATATAATGCATATATATTCATTTATAATATATACATAATATAAACAAGGTGCCAACCAGCTGGTTGGTAAGGTCTCCTGCTGGTCTTAGCGGAGACTTGGGATCGAATCCTGCCTGCACCTGGGTTGGGGGATGGGCTACCCCCGCTGTGTAGCCCTTCAAAAGGAAATAAAAAAAATGTTTTTTTTTTTTTTTTTTTATATTGGTTAACCGGTTGGTTCGGTTAGCTGCCAGTTTTTTATATTGGTTAACTGAAACTGAACTGGTACCTTTGGTTTTTCAGAAATACTGAACCGAATGGTTAACTGGAACTTTCAATTTGGTCTCATTGGTTTGGTTCAGTTTTTCGGTTTTTCATGATCACCCCTATTATTCTCTAATTTGTCCATAGATTCTGTTGTGGTTTACAATTATATCTTCATGAACCTGTTCATTGAGGATAATCTCCTGGAGGCTAGACAAAGAAACAAAGAATAATAATAATTTAAATTAGAGAATCAAATTGAATTGAAAGATACCAGAGCAATGTAGATGTAGGTCCTTGTGGGTGACTGCTTGTTACCTTTCTTTTGTAAAGCCTTTTCCTTTCTTAATAAAATTTTATTATAAAAAAGAACTGCCTACTCTGATACTCATTGATGTAGGATTGATTCAAAGCTGGGCTGGTGACTAATTTGATGGAAGCTGAAAAGTAAATGATGATGATAAGGGGTTAGGTCCATGGTTTGAGGTTGAGGGGCCAGGGTGTAGGTCTAGCGAAGGGCATGAGGGGTTTGTCTAGGGTTATATGACTGTATGATGTTATCGAGAAGCTAGTTTAGTGCTGAAAATTGAAGCAAATTAAGATGATACTTACCTGGTATCAAATTTAGTCATTTAGTTGATAGGTAATGGTTCCTTATCACTTTTTCTCAGGTCTTTGATGGTTCTGGGTGGCTGAGTTCAACATCTTAAAGGGGAAGATGGGAGAAGAGAGATAAAGAAGAGAAACCTAGGAATCACTTCTAAGGTTCCTAGAATCGCTCTAGGGCCTTGGGCATTTCTAACCACAAGTCATACAAGCAGAAAAGTATGCTCTGAAGTTCATTGGCCACATTTTTGAAACTTTATACATATACAGAGATGTCTAGCTGTCTAGCGTCAGCCAAACTCATTTCTCAAGTCTCAACTAGGAAAACTCAAAATTACAGATATGCCACTCATAAACCAGCTTAAAGAAAACTAAATAACTCTTAAAGTACTTAACAAATAACTAAAAATTTGAACATGAATAAACTATTATTAGACTGATCAAACTAACATGCTTGGTCCACATACAACGGTGAAAATGATGAAAATACCCCTATGACCACAATCAGCCAAATTCCCTAGAATGATCATCTTGTGGTTGGGTCTTTTCCCTTCTAGGATATGTCCTTAAAGGCTTTATAATCTTCCTCAAATGTTGTATCAAACTAATCTATTGGTCCAGGGTTGGGTATTTTCTTTTCTTCTTTTTACATGTCTTGTATTTCCTTCTTTCGATTGATCCTTAATTGAATTTCTCTGTTATCAGTAGAAAAGTTAATTGTATGCTGGTTGGAGCTTAGTATTGACCTTGGTATGTAACATGATATTGGTGAATCCATGGGGGTCGATGCTCATGTGCTCAAGAGGCCAGTTTTGGGGCTAGTGGGGATAGTTACTTGCTACTAGAATGACAATGATTGGATAGCAATGACAATATAGGTAACAGGAAATCATTTGATGAAATAAACTTTGATGTAGTTCTAAATAGAGTGGACTGGAGGCATCATAATTCTTGTTGCCAACTCCAAACAATGAGAAGGCTCCTTGGTAGGTTTTTTGATTTACTGGTGTGTTGTCTGCTGCTGCTTTTAATTTCTGTGTTATTGCATTCTTGCATTTGTAGGAATCAGATATATTGTTCTCAATTATTAATTTCCTTAATTGTTTTAAATACATGTGACTCAGTATTGCAGAATAATATGAAGAAATTCGGCCACGTGTTTACCATGGAGTTATATTTATTTATTTTATACCATAAATGTCTTTCATTACAAATTATTACACACTGACATTAAAATTTCATCATTCATGTTTCTATGACATGCTGATGACCTCTGTGCAGATATTCTATGGAAGATACTGGTTCTGTCAGTTGTATAGCATGGACACCTGACAATTCTGCTTTCGCAGTTGGATGGAAATTGAGAGGACTTACTGTTTGGTCAGTTTCTGGTTGTCGTTTGATGTCTACAATACGCCAAATTGGTATAAGTTCTGTCTCTTCTCCAATGGTGAAGCCGCACCAGGATTTTAAATATGAACCATTGATGGGAGGCACCTCACTTATGCAGTGGGATGAATATGGATATAGACTTTATGTAATTGAGGAAGGATCTTCAGAGAGAATTCTTTCATTTTCTTTTGGGAAATGTTGCCTTAATAGAGGAGTTTCAGGGACAACATATGTTCGCCAAGTGATTTATAGTGATGACAGATTGCTTATTGTGCAGTCTGAAGATACTGATGAACTTAAGCTTCTACATCTTAATCTACCAGTTACGTGTTTAAGTTACATGCCTGTTCTTACTTTTCATTTTTGTACGTTTATGTAGATATTCCTAATATAATTGTTCTTTTTTCTCAGGTATCTTATATCTCCCAAAACTGGCCACTTTTGCATGTTGTGGCCAGTAAGGATGGAATGTACCTGGCAATTGCTGGTGTTCATGGGTTGATCTTATATGACTTACGCTACAAGAAGTGGCGTTTGTTTGGAGATGTTTCCCAAGAACAGAAAATCCAGTGCAAAGGATTGTTATGGTTGGGGAAAATTGTTGTTGTTTGCAACTACATTGATTCTTCCAATTCGTAAGAACTTTATTCTTCATGCTATTTTTTTTTGTCACCTCTTGCTTTGAAGTGCTTAGGGTTGAACTTTATTCTTCGTGCTATTCTTCCAAGTGCTTATTGATAGTAAAATGTTATGTTTATGCTGAACATATTCCCAATTTTTTTGTTATTTTTTTCCACAATGCATTCTTGATCTTCTAGATCCAAGTTCCTGGAAGAATTTTGCACATGTGATGTTTGTATGGGTCTATAGAACATTCTTTAAGTCCAAGGAAATGTGCATTTCCTCACTTAAGAAGTACAGTTCTGAGTAAATCGCGAGATAATTATTTAGATCCTAAATATGTTTAGATGGATAGGTGTTAGATAAGAAAGACAAATTTGAAATAAACCCGTTGGGGGAGGGGAACCTAGGGTTCCACTAGGTGGGAAATAGAAAGGATGATAGATTGAAGAAAGGAGGGGCCATTGCTTGGTGCAATGGTAAAATCTTGTGCTGGCTAAAAACAGAGATGAAACAGTAATGGAACTCCAACAAAAGAGAAGAAATAGAAAAGTGAAGGGGAGAGAGAGAGAGAGATTTTGAGTTTTGTAATCTTTCCAACAATATTGTAATTAGGAATTTATTTATATAATTGCTTGGTTAGCAAAGTTGGTTAAAAAAGTAGAATTTTACAAGTTATTTGGAGTTCTTTAGGAATTAAAGTTAAAATTTGAGTGCCAATATGGTATATATAGACTTTCCTGAATTCTAGGTGTAGTAGGATTTGCTTATTTACTGTTATAGGTCTAACTAAGGGTCCATAAGAGGAGTTATGGTACTTTTTTTCCATAGGTAAATAACAGTTGTACTAAAGGCTATTATTGTAATTTCATTGATAGTATTGACCAATAATTTTAGTACTTTAATATAATTATTGATGATTATATTAAACTATTAAAGTACTTTTTTTTTTCGATAAATGAGTAAGATTTTATTAAACCAGCAAATAAGAGTTACATGCAGCCCAAGGAAAGGCACGAGGTGCAACCTTTCCTTTAAAACTAGTTACTGAATTATAAGTTCAAAAGAAATTACACAGAATCCCAAAATAAAGTAGCCCGAGAAACCCCCCTGTTTTGCAAGTGAATCAGCCATTGAGTTTTCTGATCTGCCTACCCACTGAACTCTGATTGTCATATTCCTTGTTAGCCATTTAACCCTTTTGAGAAGATCTCTAAATCCCCAGATCACAGAGTCCGGATCCTCCAACTAACCCACTATCACTTAGGAGTCCCCTTCAATAATCAGATGCTCTATTCCTAGCTGGTTTGTGATCTGGATTCCTTGCACAACAGCAAGTAATTCGGCCCTTATAGAGTCTTCCACACTCACAGGACCTGAATACAAAGATATAATGCTACTGTCTTTATTTCTCAGCACTCCTATACCAGGGTTACCTCGGCTACTCCCATCAAAGTTCAGCTTAATAAACACCTCCCTAGGTGGCATCCATTAAACCACATATCTGTCCTTCCTGGTAGAAGTATTAGCCACTGCTAACCAGCTTCTCCTTAGGTCTTCGAAAGAGTATGCATCAAAGAGATTTAGAGTTTTCAGCCACTGAATTGCCCTTGTCAAAATACATTCTTTAACTTCTGCAAATCTCCTTTCTTTTTCACAAAAAATTCTGGTGTTCCTTTTTTCCCAAATAGTCCACAACAAAATTCTGGTGTTCCTTTTTTCCCTCTCTTTGTATGCCATACAAAGGTAGATGGACTAAACGACAAGCTAGTATCAAATGATAGGTTCCACCTACACTCAAACAACATAAAAATTCAATTCCATAAAGCTGCAGTAAAGGAGCAAGAGATCAGTAAGTGGTGACAGCCCTCATTCTGAGTTTTACATAGAACACACCAATTAGGGGACCTGGTTCAAGCAAGGTAGCTGCCTCCATATAATTTGGTTGATCAACCTCAGAACTACCAAAACAGGCCAGTTTTTATTGAAGTGAACTGGTTGATCAAATAGATCAGCCTGTTAAGAACAGGCCAGTTTTCACCTTTTTTGTGAAAACACCAAATATCATATTCACCAGATCAGTCTTGTTTCAGAACATTGGTTTAATCTGTATATCAAACTTTGGATATATTATAATGCCATAAATATAACAACTTCTGCATGAATCATTTCCCCCATCAATTGGCCAGTCCTCCCAAATTCTAGTATTTTCATATTCCCTTTAGGCTATACCTACATACATCATGGAGTTCAACAATCTCTGGAGTATAATTTTTAGAGAAAAATACATTAAAAATAAGTTAACAATCTGAAAGGTGGGCTTTTCATCATGGAGTTCAACAATCTCACCAACTAAAGTTCAAAGGCACTAGCAATATTTTTTGACTTAGCAAAGCTTATCAAAGATCAGATCCTAAATTAATGTATTTTGGTAGATTTGAACAACGAAATCACAAGTTCCAAGAGTGTTACCTTATAGGGTATGCTTTGACAATTCCTGCAGTTAGCATCAATCTACAAAAAGAGATGTTGAAAAAAAGTTTAGGTTTACAGACCAATGTGAAATTTGGTAGATTTAAACAAGAAAATCATAAGGTATAGGGGTGTTACCTCGCCATTAGCAGTTTTCTTCCCATTGCCAATTCCTAAGATCCATGCACCACAAAAAATATACAAAAGAATGTGCACGGGTAACACAATGTGTTATAGTCTATTAATCAAAACTTTTGTGCATCAGAAACAAAATACAAAAAAGAGGTGCAGAAATAATCTTTACAGCTCAAAACACTTTGTAAAAACTAAGGCCCTGTTTGGATGGACTTTAAAGTACTTTCAAACTTTTGAAAGTACAGAAGTATGATATAGTGTTTGTATTGTATACTTTGTGGTTCTGCTTTTATACTTTTTAAAAGTACAAATACCCCAAAAGCACGAAGTCGGATTTTTATACTTCATGCTTTTGGCAAAATAGTACTTCCGCTTTTGTGTGAATGGGTGGTTATGTGTGACCACCTTCTGATACAACTCTCGGCCCTACCTCCGTTCGCCGCTATTAGAGTTACACTGTCATTGCCGGTCTCAGCCACCAAACCACCGGAAACTGTTACCGGAAGTATGGACGAACGTGCTTTAACCAAACAAGAAATAGTTCTTTTGTTCCGGAAAGCATACTTCACAAAATTTTTTACCCAAACGTTTTTCAAAGCAAAAACCCCAAAGTAAAAACATTTTTTGTACTTTATACTTTGGTACTGTTAAAAGTACAAAAGTAGAAGTCTACCCAAACAGCACCAATAGCCAAGATCCAAATTTAAAAATAAACAAAAATACTAGTCATCTATGTTCAACCATCAAAAGTCTTCAAAGCTGCTATAGGACGGGCTCTTGTTAATGTCTACAGTCATGTGAATCCACTCCTTCCTAAGTCCTTTCGGTACTTCATAAAATGTCATAGCTTGTTTTTCATCCTTAGAAATGATGCTATATGCTTTTAGTATTAAATCATTTGGCAGCCTACTAAGGCACAAAGTAACATCCTTAACCAAATCTTCTCTGTTGCCAAAGACTCCAAAACCATGTTCGACAACCCTTGCTAACTTCCCAAGATTAGTAGCCACTTCCTCAATCTTGTCTGCAACCATCTCCAAAGCCTTTCGCTTCCCTATGCACTTAGGGACATTGGTTGATTTTTCCTACAAAGAACGGTCTCCTATAATGTCAATATCATCAATGTTATCCTCTGTGTTGTCCAGTATCTCAACTGTTATAAGTAGTTGAATTTGACTCTTGTCTAAGAATCTCTCTTGTAGTTTCTGCACCGGTTTTTGTCACTTGGTCATTTCCACAGACAACCAATTGATCATAGTTTGTTATTGACTTCCTTCGAAATTGTTGGGCTTCTAGGTGACCCTAATGATCAAAACACATTTAGTACACAATTTCCAAAGTTTCAAGTTATGCAATATAAATCATAAGTAATCAAAATTACACTCACCTCTATGTAGGTTGCACATACTTTTGGCTCTGCTTCCACTATCTTTCTTTGGTCATTCCATGAGAAGCCACTTTGGTTCAGAAGAGCATTGAGCACAACACATTTTTTCTTAATAGTTTTTAGACAATTTCTAATATTATATTTTTTGCAATCTATTCCAAACCTAGAGATAATAGCTCCACTTGCAGCTGTATAAGCGACACCTTTATAGCTTTTGTCAACTTTATTTCCAAAGTTGACTTGCTCATCCAAAACACCAATTAGGTGATTGTCCATTTCTACAGTCCAAGTCATGTTGGTTTTATTGATTTTAGCATCACTCCCATTGCCTTGTCCTTCCATTCCTGTAAAATACTATTAATTATGTAACAAGCAAAAATTTATCATCTATGCAATAAATTCAGGCATCTGTATTAAATCTTACAAAGGAATTTAAATAAAAAAGTAATTTTACTTAAACTAATAATAGAAACACCTAATGTTTTCATATGCGCATATATAAAGCTGTCCATTATAAAGTAATACAAAAATTACTTCCAAAAACATATACGATGAACAACTAATTCATCTATGTCTATTGCGGGACCGAGCCAAGTGATAGTCATTCCACATCATATTTGCAATGGATTCACATAGAAGAACTCCATCTCTACACTCTACATACTTGCACGCTGAGAAGGCATAGAGCTTTGTGGTGCTTCTTGTTCATCATCACACTCATCATCATCATCATCTACTCCTTCACTTTCTAATGTGTGGTCCTCTTGTTCAAATTGCCTCATGATGTAATTACGTGGATTGACACCCATGACATGATTGTGCAAGATACAACATGCACTCACAATTTTAACTTGTGTCTTAAAATGATAATGTTGTTTAGATACTATGATGGGAAAACGTTTCTTGAGCACTCCAAAAATCTTTTCAATTATATTTCTTATAGAAAAATGACAAAAATTGAAGAGTTACTTTACATTTTTTGGTGTGTGTTCTCCATTCTTTCAAATGATATCAAGTGCT